GAATGGGAGAATGGCGCAGGGGAGGGAAGGGATTCTGAAATTCAGCCTACCACACAGACCCTGCCCCCCACGCCCAGTGAGACATCAATACCCTTCAAGGTCACGGCCCCTTAAAGCTGAAGCTTGGCTGCCACTACTGTAGCTGTCTCAGGAGGAGCTCGCTCAGCTCTGAACCACACCAGGAGGAGAACCTCTGTCTGAACACACCGCACAAGCCATTCCTCTCTGGGGCCTCCCGGGGTCCGTCCAGGCTCAGAGAAGAGTGTATTCCCCTCACACCATAGGAGCCACCATTCCTACACTGTCTTGGCTTTTCCTACCTCCGCCCTTCCCCTGCCCTTTAGGAATCTTTTTTTGCTGTGTCCAGAGGAAACCACCCTCTCATCGAACCCCCCATAACCTGAATACTTTGGCTAGATCCAGAGTCCTATCCTTGGGGGGGCAGGGGGCGGTGATACTAGGCTTTTCGAGTCTGAGGCCAGGTCTCGCTCTCCTCTCTGTCACATTCCTCACCTGCGGCAAAGGGCCTGCGAGTCAGCCGTCAGCCCCTTTCAGAGGGAGGTGGGGGCCATAGTGGGGAGATACTTAATATTTCATTGTTTTCCTGCCACTCTCCAGACCTGGCCTAGTCTTTACAATGCCCTTGGTGCTTAATCCATCACAGGTCCCACCCTCCTCCCACCAGGCTTTCCCTTCACATGGCAGAGAGAGGGGCTGGGGGCAGCTCTGAGGCCTGCACCTTACTTGTCTTTTCTGTTCACTCTTCACAGCCGAATTCAGAGATCACCTCTCTGTGTGGCCTCTTTCCCTCCACTTCCTACCAAGTCTGTGGTACTTTGTTATGGCAGCCCTAGCAAACTAATACAATGTTAAATTTACATTCACAGTGTATGTGTTTTAAACATTCATTTGTAATGTAAATATTTTACAAAGACTACAACATTTCAGCCAGTTTATATATAATATATTTGAAACCATCACCACCCCTCAGAAAATGCCCGGGGTATCTCTATACCTGTGAGCAGCCCCAGTGCAGGGCGTCGGCCTGGAGAAAACCCAGCAGCCCAACTGGAGGGCTGGAATGATGGTGTGCCTGGACGCAGCCTGTAGATCTGCCTGAGAGCCAGCTGGCACCATTAGACAAAGAAGGCTCTGAGCTTTCTCATTAGGCTGGCCACGTCCCAGCTCCCTCCTCCCAACCCCCACAAAACCATCTGGAAAATGAAAATAATATCTTCTGCTTCCTACTGAGCTCCAGGGACCCTGTGAGGGACAGGGAGAGATTAGCCACTAAACCCTCACATTCCTAGAGAAGGTTGCTCTGGAATAGGCTATTGTTGGGCCTACTTTGCCCTAAACGGCATAAGCAAGACACTAATCCGAGCTTTCTCCAACTGCCCTGGCCTGGTCTCAGAAGCTTCTAGCCCACCTGATTGAAGGTGAGCTGCCCACAAGGCTCTCCGCAGGTTCAACCACCTGACAGGTGAGTTAGCCGTGCTGTGCACTCAATGAGCTCTTGAGTCACCTGGGGATTCGTTAGCATGCAGATTCTGATTCAGCCCATCTGGCCAAGGTCCTGAGCTTCTGCATTTCCCCCTGGCGATGTAAATGTTACTGGTCAGAGTGGAAAGGCGCTAGACATACAGCAGGAGGTACTTCATCTCAAATGCTTTCTGGCAGAAACCTGGACCCCAAGCAAGCAGCCTGATGGTTGTTTGGAGGGAAGTGTGATGCTCTCCCTGGAGACTCAAGGGATGCAGATCCCCTGAGCTCTCCTGGCCAGCCGCTTTTCCTCGCACTTCACAGTGGGCACACTGCCCCAAAGTCCGGGCAGGGTTTGGCAGGCTTGCAGCCCAGCACCAGCAATTAACCTTTGGTTAGGGCTCTGGGACTCCATCGGTGTGCACAGCTCAGTTTTAGAGCGTCCCTGAGAAACCACGCAGCCCCTCTCCAGATGGGCTTCTGTGCACCTTCCCTCCCTCCAGCCCCGGCTGGCCAGGCCCCAGGGCGGATTCATGCTGGTTAATTGCACTTTTCCTGGCAGGGCTTCCAGGCTCATGAAATTCATCTCTTGCCAAAGGCAGAGGATCAGCAGACAACAGAGAGCAGGGCTGTAGCTAATCAGGTGCAATCACTTCTTAATGACACCTTTTTGCCCTCCTAATTATCGAAATCGTGCAACTTGCCCTAGAAAATGTAGGAAATGTTGAAAATTATAAAGAAGGAAATGACCTTGCAATTCTACAATTCAGAAATACTCTGTTAAAATCGTGCAACTCGCCCTAGAAAATGTAGGAAATGTTGAAAACTATAAAGGAATGACCTTGCAATTCTACAATTCAGAAATACTCTGTTTTAACATTTGGAAGAATGTTCTTCCGATCTTTCATGTGCTGAAGTGTAATTGGTATACAGTTCCACACTGGACTCCCAAATTCTTTGAAAGCAGGATTTTCAACAGCTGCATAATCGTTTTCCCAAACAGGCTTTGCACAAGTTGAGGGCAGGACTTGTTCCCTTTTTATATTCTTAGCATTTGACAAACAGTAGGTGTTCAACAACAATTTGTTAAATAAATGAAAATTTCCTCTAAGTTTGCTGTTTACTGCATAAAAGACTATACACTTCTGCTATTTTTCACTTCTTTTAAGGTATCAGTGTGCTGAAATATGATTTCAATTCCAGTTGAATCTCTGAAGGTTTGGCAAGAGTATTACAAAAAAAATATCAGCAGAGGTCAGGCCATCGAGAACTCTTCTTAGGCTCTAGCAAACCTCAGGGGATTCCTGCCCCTGCTGGCAAATGGGGAACATTCTTTAAAAAAAAAATAAACTTTAATTCTTTAAAGATTAAAAGTAATAGGGTGCTTAATGGATTGGTCACAACAGGAACGCAACACTGGAAGGGTTAGCAGCTGTCAATTCCACACACGTGTAAAAGAAATCCACAATCTGGCCTCCCGGGGGAAACCCATGCCGGGAAGGCTGGGCCCAGGGGCAGAGCAGAAAGGCTCCTCTTTACAGCAGAGACGCAAAACCAGGCCCCTCGCCTTGGGCCCCTCGGCCACTCTGGCTTGTCTCTCTCCTCCTTGGAAAAAAGCAAGTTAAATTCAATCACCTTTATAAACTTTAAGCCAGGCTCTCCTGTCAGAGTCAGAGCCAGAGACTTTCCATTCCCTCTTGTGCTGAGGATATTTTTTTACCTGGGTCTTCCATCCGTAACACTGATCGTTTCTGGGAAGGGGATAGAAATGCACATCCTCTAACCGAGCAGAAGGTGAACAGGCCCAGTCAGCCCAGATCACTACAAATGCCACAGGAAACTCCAGTCCATTCTCCCCATTTCTGTCTCTGGGACTTGCACGTGGTATCTCCGTGCCCCGTGGGTGAGGCAGGGAGGGCAAGGGCGTCCTCACCTGCTTTCTCCACCACTGTGGGCAGAAGCTCAGCAACCGAAGTCGGGACTGGTGGCTTACCTCCGAGAGGATGTCACACCCTCCTCCAGCTATTCACTCACTCCTTCACCAACATCGCGGAGCCAGGCCTCTGCTGGCCGGGTGGGGGATGCCATCTACCACAGCAGAGATTTTCAACCTTTTCTTCTCATGGCTCACATAAACTAATTACTAAAATTTTGCGGCACACCAAAATATATTTTTTGCCAATCTGACATACACACAAAAAAGGTATAATTTGATTCATTCACACCAAACGGCTATTGTGTTGGTTGTTGCCATTTTTTTATTTCTGAGGGAAAAGAGGTCAGTGCCTCTGACTAAAGTCAGGTATTGAGTGTTTTAAAAATTCTTGCAGGGCACTGATTGGAAACCGCTGAACAGTTCCAGAAGCCTCAGGTTCATGGCGACTGTTCCTCACCCCACCACGCTCTGGCTCTGGCCACCTGAAATGGTGGCGCCCTTAACTACAATGACTAAGCATGAGCGTGAAAACTAACTGAAAAGGGAAAGTGACCTAGGGAATTGCTAAGGCTGAGACTCAGGGTAGACAGACCTTGTTACCAGACCACTTTGGAGCTGGGAGCTGGCCCTGCCCCTGCACAGTTCGGGACCTTTTCCTTGTTGGGCAACCTCAGTCAGTCCTAAGTCAGGTCCTTCACTTGCCCAGGACAGATTTCAAGGATGAAACAGAGTGAGAATAGAGCGAGTTTTATTCGAATAGAGCAGTGGTTCTCAACCTTCTGGCCCTTTATATACAGTTCCTCATGTTGTGACCCAACCATAAAATTATTTTCGTTGCTACTTCAAAACTGTAATGTTGCCACTGGTATGAATCGTAATGTAAATATCTGATATGCAGGATGGTCTTAGGTGACCCCTGTGAAAGGGTCGTTCGACTGCCAAAGGGGTCGCGGCCCACAGGTTGAGAACCGCTGGAATAGAGGGAAAAAGAAAGAGGCCAGGCATAGGTGCCACTGTGAAAGAAGCAAAAAGTATGTGGCGGAGGGAACACGGGCCAACTGGAGAGTGAGTTGTGCACGTGGCCAGTTAGTTCTTGGAATTTTACGTGTTTGGGGGGGGGGGGGGTGTCTCCAAGCTTTGTGGTGTCAAATTCTGACTCCGCCTTCTGGTTGGGAGGGATTTCCTGCCACTAATTGTTTCCCTTCCATCCTGCCCAGCAGTGGAGGCTCTGGTAAGAGGATGTCAGCTTCCCCTTACTCACCCCACTTGTCAGGATTTCCCCCTAACTTCCTCTTATCCTGCCTTAGTCCCAGTTCTACTGTGTCACTTACTGGCTGAACCACCACAGATGGGAAACCACCTCATTTGTAACATAGGCTGGCCTGGTCCCTTGCACATGTTAGGTCAGTGATGGCGAACCTTTTGAGCTCGGCGTGTCAGCATTTTGAAAAACCCTAACTTAACTCTGGTGCCGTGTCACATATAGAAATTTTTTGATATTTGCAACCATAGTAAAACAAAGACTTATATTTTTGATATTTATTTTATATATTTAAATGCCATTTAACAAAGAAAAATCAACCAAAAAAATGAGTTCGCGTGTCACCTCTGACACGCGTGTCATAGGTTCGCCATCACTGTGTTAGGTGCTCCACATGTTAGTAACGATGAAGGTGACGATGATATCTGACACAAACAAGAGAAAGGAAAAGTTACTGATAATTGCATAGGGCCAACTGCCCCCCACCCCACTTCCTTAACTAGGCGAGTTTACGTTTTTTAAAAGCTCCCAGTAAAGGTATCATTATGAACTATGGAATATACAAATGGACAATGGCCTGCTTATACATCAAAATAGAACTCTGATCCACAACCTGTAGTAACTAGTCCAGGAAGCCAAATAATAACCTTTGTAGGAATCAACCCAAAATTGCCAGGACTTGATTATTAATAACTCACAGCTTCCCTAATTTTTGTTCCTCCTTCCAACTTAGGACTGACTGGAGAAAGTTAGAAGTGCATTCCGATCAATAACATGGAGTGCCCCACTGCCAGTTAGCCCACCTAGAGCTTCCCTGTGCCGCCATCAGCCAATCAGAGCCGAAGGAAGTCTGCCTTTTTTCTACTGTCAAGCTTTTCCACGCCCCTGTCTGCCTTTGAGTCTGCCAAGTGCAAGTGAAGGTGGCTGACTCCCCAGCCACATAGAAGCTCAGGTAGCCTTTATTGTTCTTGTTTAGAGAGTCTTCATTTCCTTCCGCCATACCTATTTTTCAGAGGAAGAAAAGAATGCTTTAGGGTCATCATTATGAAAATTCAGTTGAATACAATGAAAAACCGAAATGGTGGGGTTGGGGGAGAACTAAAAATGAGTTCATCTCGACCACCAAGTAGAATTGGGACAGAAAAAAACTAGGCAGAGATCCAGTTTGGATTACAAAAAGCTAGTAAGATCAGTACAGTACTGACTATAAAGCCAGAAGCAAATGAAGAGTCAATTAAGCACTGAGGTTTTGCTGTGACAATATGCAATGAGATCCAAGATGTACTAAATATGAGGTTTCCTGCCAAGGAGAAACATAATCTTCCCTACTGGCGAAAGTCAGATTTCATGACATCAGCCAGATAACCACAAAAGAATGCATCTTGTAATACAGGCTGTCTCTAAGCTATTGGGAGACTATGCTCTCCCCAACCAACTAACCAACATTCATCATTTACTGATTTATTATTTATTTATTTAACAAGCACATTCCATTTCATAGCCACCCTTTTTTAAAGCAGACAGGTTGAATAGAGACATATGTAAAATACAAGCTCTCCAAAGTATATTATTTTTCTTCAATGTTGTGAGTTATATCTTTCTAAAACAGTGTTTTATACATTTCACCCTTCCTATATTAAAAGCCACAAATTATTTATACATTGCCTATTTTGTCCAAATGAAATTTATAAATTTTAATCTAGCTACAAAAGAAATATATATTCATTATAGACATTTCCCCAAAGAATAATCACTTCTATACATTAGGACACATTGACAACATATATTACAGGGAAAAAGTAAACTGCAAGAATTTTTAAAAATTTCAATTCCCATTATGATAGAGTGCATTATTATTCAAAATAATTGCTGGCCTGAGGGAAGATAATACTTCCCCGCCTCACTGCATCAGACTTGGGTATGTGATTATGACAAACTCCTTGTGGGAGGATTATGTATCTCCACCCAGTTGACCACGAGGCCCTGGCAGGGTAGCTCAGTTGGTTAGAGTATAGTCCTGATACACTAAGGTTGCAGGTTTGATCTCCAGTTAGGACACATATAAGCAACCAATGAACACATAAATAAGTGGTAAAACAAACTGATGTCTCTCTCTCTTTCTCTCTCTCAAATCAATGAATAAGTTTTTTAAAAAAGATTGCTCATGAGACTTGCTTTGATCAATGCAGTGATAATAGAAGTGAAGAATGCCACCTTTAAGCAGAAGTTCTAGGAGACACCATGTGTTTCTACCATGTTCTCTTTCTCTTCCATGATGAGTGTAGGAGAGGAAAATAATTTTCCTTCATCCTTCTAAGTTCTAGGCTGGGACCTATACAACAAAAGAGATTAAGAGAAAAATAAAACAAACAAAAATGTATTGATATGTTGTAGGGGAGAAGAAATAATTTTTCTCTACCTTTCTGAGCTCTTAGCCAAGACCCCTATAATAAAAGACATAATAACAAAAAGAAAACAAATAAAAGTTAATTAACGTGTATGTCATGTACACATGGGAGATATCCAGGGAAAAAGAATAACTCTTAGGAGTGATTCAGGACTCAGGCTTAAATATCTTCTGCTAAAGTTATGGGGAGGCCAATTATGGGGAAGTAACCAGGAAAGTGTGGTAAACAAGAATAAGGTTTGTTATGCAGATTTAAGGTAGTGCCTTTTCCATTGATAAGGGTTTAAAGTTGCTTCTGGGGATTAACTTATGTCCTTTCTGTAAAGAGAGGAGGAAGCACACCTTTGTAAAAGTATGTTCTGCTTTTAGGCAAATAGGGGTAAGGCACAGAACTTTTCTTGTATCTGCTTCTTCTCAATTGCCTTCAGTTCAAAATAATCCTTCAGCCAAAATGGGCTATTTTGCAACACTTTATCAGCATCAGCCTGGCTCCCAGAATGAAGAGAACTCTGAGCAGAGCTGCAGACAGACAATAGATCTATGACATGAGTAAGAACTAGACTACAGTAGACCTGTGACATGACTAAGAACCATTTATCACTGTCTACCACTGAGGCTGTTGGAGTTGCTTGTTAACATAGTAGAACTAGAACTTAGCCTACACTGACTGATACACCCAAGTGTTTCCTGAATTTTCCTTATGTCTAAAGAGAGCTTTTATGCACTGATACAAATAAGTTGAGTTTCAACTTAGGTTTTATATATTTAAATTATATATTTTAAAACTTAGTTTCTAAGCCTTTAAACTTGTTATTTACAAATGGAATGAATTTTCTGTCAATATTTTATTTTATGCCTATTTATACATTTGATAAAGTCTATCCAAATGTTTATCAAATTTAAAAAATTAAATTTTGGAAAATTTAAAGTGTAATCTAATTTTAATACATTTAATTTTCTCAAGCCCTTCAAACACCCAACAAAGAACTAATATTTCTATAGACAAAATCTTCCTAAACAGTTGAAACACACTAAATCTAAAGTTTAACCTTATGAATTTAATAAATTATAATTTAAACATTTAAACAATGATTTCAAATTTAATTACCTGTATCTTCTTTGGAATTTTTATTATTATGTCCTATTCATAAGTCTTTCACTCACCTTAAAAGGCAGAAAAACGCACACAAAATACTGTAACAATTACTAGACATAACTTAGCTTGTTACAAAAGGGTCTTTGAAAGTATTATTTTCTGGCAAAAACAAGATATTCCAGACCCTCAAATTTCCTGCCTTAAAATGTTCAATGTGCTTCTCCCCAGGGAGCCCTCAGTCCTTCCTTGGTCTTTGGCCTGGAATGTAAATAAGATGTGTCTGCAAAGCAGCCCCTGGAGGCCACAAAAAAAAAGCCAGGAATTCACAGTAACCTTTGGTCTGACGTCCTTGAACCCAAATCCCAGGGTTTTTTTAAACATTTTTTTTATTTATTTCAGAGAGGAAGAGGGAGAGAGAGATAGAAACATCCATGATGAGAGAGAATCATGGATCGGCTGCCTCCTGCAAGTCCCTGATTGGGGATCGAGCTCACAACTCGGGCATGTGCCCTTGACCAGAATTGAACCTGGGACCTTTCAGTTCACAGGCCAACGCTCTATCCACTGAGCCAAACCGGCTAGGGCCCAAATCCAAGGTTTTTAAGTTACTGAGGTCCAGTCTGTTACTCAACTGCAACTCCTTACTGATATAATCATTATCCAAACAGAGAAGCCAAGAAAAAGCTCTCCATAGAAAAATGGGAAATTGACCTAAAGGGGAAGACCTTGAGTGGGGGTGGGTGGGTGGAGGTTGGGGATGGTAAAGAAAGGAGATGGGAAAGAGGGTAGGGGGAGAGGTGAGATTTGGCAGCCTCTGTAACCATTGCACTTAAGGATTTTAAGAAGTTTGCTTTTTCCCCTCATGTGTAAAATGAGAACTAGAATGTGTATAGGATCACTGTAATAATTATACCAGACACACATCGAGTGCTCAATAAACATTAGCTATCATCATTATTTAAGCTGAGCCTCTGAAATGTAATAGAACTGGGGACTGGATCACCTTAAGAAATCCATTCTTTTTTTCTCTCTGTGCCCCACTCTCACAACTGCACAACCGCCTTAATCCTCTGTCTTCCTGCAAATAGGTTTTTCCATAATGCCTAAAATAGTCACTAACAACATCTTTCAAGTTTCCCGACTCCTTGGTTCAAGTTAACAGCCAGTCTAAAGCTGCACTGTCAGTTCCAAGTCCAAATTCCAGAGAGGCTGGTTGGCCAGCTTAGATGGAAAGTCCTCTCCTGGGTCAATGAAAACATAGCTGCTCCTGCTATAACCTTGAGAACAATGCTAAAAATATGGGGGCGGGGGCGGGGGAGAGCAGGGTGGGGGCACTGCTGTGGAGACAAAACAGGAGGTGAACACCTGGGCACATTTTCTGAGTGGTCAAGGTGTATGTTCTGACCAAGACTCTCTCCTTGACCAAACTTCAGTCAGGCTCCTCTGAGCCCTCTTCTTGACTCCACCTTGACCTTGGCCTTCCGTGGCCATCCTGTCCTCACCATGCCCATATAGCCAAACTTAGCAAGAGTGCCTCCACCCTTGAAATCTGATCAAGTTCTTCATCCCCCACCTTTGATGTAAAAATCCTTGACCTACTTTTAGCAAGAATCCCCTTACCCTGATGTCTCCCACTGGATCCCCTCCTTCTGCTCACTGGCTAAAAATCCCCACTTGTCCTTGTATTCAGAGTTGAACCTAAGTTCTCTGCCCTATTGCAAAACCCCCATTGCAATAGTCTTGAATAAAGTCTTACCATTATAACAACTATCTGAACAACTTTTTCTGTAATGCTTTATACACACAGGATTTGGATTGCACTATATATGTATACATATATTCTCCAAAAAATGTATACACATCTTGTATGATTATAAAGACAATGTTTATTAACATACAGTTCATTTTTGAAATTAAAAAGAACCTACAGAAATGAGTAATTTTTTTTGTCAATGCCTGTTTTCAAACTGATGACTGTCCTGGTCCAGGCACTGCCGATAATGCCAAGCAATGGAATCATAAACGTCAAGAATAATTTTGTTCGTCAACTGTTGCCATTTTTGTACCTTAAACTTTATCTTGTATGTATCCCCATAAAAAAGACTAGTAGACAAATTTTCTTTGTTCAAAGCTTAGTCTGGCTTCACCCATTATTTCAAATCAGTTAAGCCTGAAAAGGAATGAAAATTATTATCAGCTATTAAAGTCTGTATATATATATTTTTGGGACACCCTGTAGTTTTTTAAATTAATTTTATTTAACATCTGAAACACTCAATGAAGTATTTTTCAACACTTTTATTATTAGCTACTTATAATTTCTAAGATGCCACAAGTAAAATGTGACCTCAGAGGTTAAAATAATAATTTGGGTATATTGGATTAAATAACAAGTTATATATATAAATATGACCTCAGGGTCAAGATAAAGCCCCTTGTTAAGATCTCAGAAAATGCCCTGACCGATTTAGCTCAGTGGATAGAGCGTCAGCCTGCAGACTCAAGGGTCCCGGGTTCGATTCTGGTCAAGGGCATGTATCTTGGTTGCGGGCACATCCCCAGTGGGGGGTATGCAGGAGGCAGCTGATCGATGTTTCTAACTCTCTATCCCTCTCCCTTTCTCTCTGTAAAAAATCAAGAAAATATATTGAAGAAAAAAAAAAGATCTCAGAAAATGCTTCTCATGTACTCCTGGCTGGAAAAAGGTTTCTAAGAATCTTAAAAGTGTGCCTTCTAATCTTGTCAGGTAGACAATAGAGCAAAGGGCTTGTGCAAGAATATGGGTATATCACGCTCTGCCCTGTAGTCAAAAGTGGAGGGGTGCTGTATTTGGAAAAGACTGGTGGGGATGGTTTTTAGTTAACATAGTGAAGATTCACAGACAACAATGTTTTTAAGAGAACTGAACAGAAACACAACCAGCTTGCACTGAAATCATAGTTTAAACTGAAGTCACTGGGCTCCCAACCATTTGTGAGTGGGGAGCAGGCTGAACTATTCAGCTGCTTATGGAATAAGTTAGTATGACCCAAAAGGAGGAGCTAAGAACTAAGTCAGGTCCAGTCATGGATGGATGATGTTCCTGGGGTGATTCCTGGGGTGTGGTTTTGTGGGAGCAGAGACTTGAGAACTAGAAAATCCCATGATTTTAAGTGCAATGTGAACAGAAACAGAATAACTACTATAATCACTTTCAAATGTGGGGATGAGTGAATGTAAAAATCAGTTAAATCTGAATAAGGTTTGTAATTGAGTTAACCATGTCGAGTCCAATAGGTCTAATAAGATGAGGACAATGAATTCAGCAACATGGAGGTTACCAATGACCCTAAAAATCAGTGTCTGAGAAAAGGTGTGTGTGAAAGCCTTATTGCAGTTCAACTCAAGAGTGAATGGATCTTCCTGAATCCCCACATAAGAACACGACCCAAAACCCATGGACAACATTTACCACAAAAAAGTGGTGAATCCCAAAGTACATCTGGGATGGATGAAACATGCAAAGCCAACAGTGTCAGCATCTATCAGGGAAGAAACAGGGAAAAATTGAGCAGATGACAAATTCAGAGACAAAAAGTAGGATGGTAGTTTCCAGGAGCTAGTGGGAGAGGAAAAGGAGACACTGCTGTTTCATGGATACAGTCTGTTTCAAAAGATGGAAACAGTTCTGGAGATTGATCGCACAACAATGTGGCTGTACCTAACCCTACTGACTGCACACTTTAAACAGTTGAGATGATAAATTTTGTTAGTGAAACACAAAAAACTCAGGAAACTAATCTCATAAAAATGAGGATTAGAAGTATCAAGATTAATAAAAACA